GAAAGAAAAAAAATCAAGGTGTACAAAAATATTTTAGATGTTAATCCAAGGACTTTTTATACTCCTTGTGGTTCTCATAGTCAGAATTTAGCATTATGTGATATGGTTAACACATGTGATAAATCTAAGGATTTTTCTGGAGTTATACAAAGGATATATACAATTTTTTCTAATTCTACTAAAAGATGGCAAACTTTGAAAGATAATATAAAATGATTGTCTCTAAAACCATTATCATCTACCCGTTGGAAAAATCGTATTGAAAGTGTTAAAGAAATTAGATTTCAAATTTCACATATACAAGAAGCTCTATTAAAAATATCTGAAATTGATAATGATTCTAAAATAAGACGTGAAACTAACACATTAACAACAAATGAGTTTGGTGATTTTGATTTTTTTTGTAGCAATAGTTATTTGGTTTGAAATATTATATGCAATTAATTTGGTTAGTAAATATTTACAAACAAATGATATGCATGTTACTATTCAAAAGTTAAAGAATTTAATTTCTTTCTTTAAAAAATATAGAGAAACTAGTTTTTCTAATGCTTTAGAAATTGCTAAGTCGATTGGTACAGAAATAGATGTTGATCATGTACTATTTAGAATAAATTATTTTTTATATATTATTGAACATACACTTAGTTCATTTAATAGAAGGTTTGAACAATATCAAGAATATGAAAATATTTTTGGTTTCTTATTTACTTCAAAAATATTGTATTCTTTGAATGATACCAATTTAAAATGTTGTTGTGATACATTTGAAAATGTTTTAGAAAAGATGAACAATCTGATGTTGATGGAAATGAATTATATATAGAATTAAATTATTGAGAGAAATTTTACCTAAACAAATGATGAAACCTATTGATATTTTGAATTTTTTGAAACGTATGGATTATTTTTCTGATACAATAATTGCTTATAGAATTTTATTATAACTATTCTTGTTACTATTACATCTGGAGATAGAAGTTTTTCAAAGTTCAAATTATTGAAATCTTATTTGCGTTCAATAATGTCTCAAGAAAGGTTTAACGGGCTAGCATTACTCATAATAGAGAACGATTTTTTGGAAAAAATTGATTATAAAAATTTAGTTGATAAATTTGCTACAAATAAAATTAGAAGAACTATCTTGTTTAAATGAATATTTTATATTTTATATTAACTTAGTTCATTTGTATATTTTGTTATATTAAATGTGTTTGTATCATTTTTAAATGTTTTTGAAAATAATGTAATATTTGATTTTTTAATTATATTTTAATATTATTATATTTTAATATATTAATTAATAATTTTTTATTAATCTAAAATTTATAATATGTGAGGGCCTCTAAATTTTGTGAGATGGCCCTAGTGGTAATAACTATGCAGTTTCTTCATCTCTCGGGATATCGCATTTATTACGGCATCTTAAGCATTGCACGAAAAAATCTTTGTTTGAAAATATAGCCAATATGTGAGGACAAAGAAGATAGATTAGAAAATTTGGAGGGTGAGTTGATCATATACCATGAATTGTCGTTTGTTTTTTATGAGTATGCATAGTTCAAAGAACTGATATTGTATGCAAACCCAGATATCAAAGTAATATGCAGAAACACTACTTCTAGCGATGTTATGAAGTTTTATGAGGATGAGAAAGACAAGTTGAAACTTCAATTGACTAATATTCGTAGTAGGACATATTTAATTTCTGATCTTTACATGTCTATCACAAATGAGGGATATATTTGTGTGATTGCACATTATGTTGATGAGAATTGGAAGTTGAATAGCAAGACATTATCGTTTTGTACATTGATCCCCCACACACAGGAATGAAAATATCTAAGAAGATTTTTTATTGCTTAAAAGATTGGGGAGTAGAAAAAAAGATTTTTTCTCTCACGTTGGATAATACTTCAGCCAACGATAGTATACAAGACATCTTGAAATACCAACTTTCTTTGCAAAATAATTTATTGTGTAAAGGTGAATTCTTCCACATCAGATGTTGTGCAAATATCTTGAATATAAATTATACTCATATGATGCTTGTAAGTATTCTCAATCATCAATATGATTTTAGTAGTCTTGCTTTGATTGATATAAATTATAAGTTCTGTCCAACAAATGAAGAGTGGATCAGAGGAGAAAAATACGTGACTTATTGAAACCATCTGATGATATTACAACGATGATGTCTGGTTCAAAGTATCCGACTTCTAACTTGTATTTCATAAAAGTTTGAAAAATTGAAATGCTTTTGAAAGAGTATGTAAATGGTGAAGACGAACTTCTTAAAAGTATGGCTGAAAGAATGAAGGTGAAATTCGATAAATATTGGGAAGAATATAGTATCATTCGTGCCATAGGAATCGTGCTTGATTCGAGGATGAAGTTGAAAGTATTGAAATTCTTTTATGATCAACTTAACGAGAAAAGTAATCAATCCAATGTGGATAAAGTAAAAAGTAAGATGTATTTAATTTTTGAAGAATACAAAATAAGATTTGGAGTATAGATTTCTAAGAGCTTACCTACTTCATAAGGTAATAATTTAAAGGAGAATAAATAAGGTTCTACTCAATTTGATATAAACTCTCTTTTTCTTTTTAAATTTGTGGTTCTTATTTTGTTATCAGACTTTTTCTATCGTAAAGTTTTCAATTTTTTTATATGATTTAGGAGTTAAGTGGATGGAAAAATAAGACTTCTTGATGATGGATTAAAGACGAATTTGGATAAATATTTACGGGATCATACTATAGATTTACATCGGTATAAAGGTATGGATATTTTAGAGTTTTGGAAGATCAATGAAGGACAATATGGTACTACATTGACTTTTATGGTATTTGATATTCTCAGTATTCTTATCACTACCGTTGCTTTAGACTCGTCTTTTAGCATTGCTTCTCGTGTTTTAAACAAATACAAAAGTCGTCTTTTACCTACAAATGTTCAAGTTCTCCTTTGTACTCGTTCTTGGTTATAAGTCTAAGTATAAGTGTTTAACTTATATTTGTTTCTTTAATTGACGTGTTGTATAGATTTCGGAAGTGGTATCGATGACATTCTATCAACTTCATTATCATCTATGGTCGTCTTGTTGGAGGTGCTCTAGAGAATTGATCAATCGACTAAATTTTTCAGCTTTATTTTTTTTAACTAATTACTTTGTTATTATTGGTTTTAAAATATTTTTGAATTAAATATTTTGTTGTTATTGGTTTTAAAAATATTTTTGTTGAATGTTTTATATTATTATTATTATTATTATCACATAAAATATTTTTATTTAATAAAAAAGTCTGAAACCCGACCCGAAACTCTATTGGGCCGGACTCCAGGCCACTGACCATAGACCCAAAAAATAAATAGGTGAACCGGTCTAACCCAAAAAAATCTAGACCCGAATCGAACTCAATCCGAATCCGGTCCGGGCTACCCTTTTTACACACCTATTTTTATCCAAAGTTTAAAACAATTACAGAAAAACTCTAAATTTAATCGAATTTGCATTTTGCCCCTCCCCTAGATACTCCATTTCCAGACCCTCTTCACTAGTCACAAAGTCATAAACGTGATTCTATCATTTGCAAGAGTACAAATCATCCTATAATAGATTGTTAGAGGATTGGTACTATTTTATAAGAGAGTTGTGCTCTTTTTATTTTTGTATGGCTCTATTGGTTCCCACAATTGGTGCTAGGCTAATTCGAAAAGACGGAGTCCATCTTTTGTTTTTTAGACTTAATAGCCAGTTTATATAAATCAAACTATATATAATTCTTTTAGTGTATCTATAAAATTTAATCTTCATCGAAAAAAAACTTTCCTGCAGATAGAGTGGACATAATATCATAAAAACCCGAATCGTTTCATTATTCGATTCGTATCCGAATAAAAAATTCGGATATTCGGAGTTTACGGATCGGATACATATATATATTTTAAAATATTTTTCGAATACGGATCGGATACAGATATCAAAATCAAATTATCCACTCCGATCATATTTTTTAATAATATTATTAAATATAAAAATAATTTGGTATAAAAATTTTAAATGCTTAATATTTCCATGTTTTTAGGGAGATTTAAGAAATATTTTATTTATATATTAAGGTTTAGGATGTTTAATCTTTTGAATATTAAAATTTATTATGTTTAATCTTTTGAATTTTGAATATATTTATATGTGATAGATTATGATTGTATTTGTTGAATTTTGAATATATTTATATGTAATAGATTATGATTGTATTTGTATTTGAGTTGATTTAAAATGTTTAAATTATAAATATCATTTTTATTAAATAAATTATATATTTTATTTGGTTTAAATTTATTATTTAAATTTATTTCAAATTTTATAACGTTTAAGTCGTATATAAAAATTCATAAATATCCGCAAATTTTTATTGATATCCGAAATTGCGGATATCCCAAAAATTATAGATCAGATACGGATAATAAAATCGAATATTTGTATAGATCGAATATAAATATTTAAAAAATTATGTATATTCGATCCGTGTTCAACCTTTCTGTATAGGAAGTATATTAACTTCTTTTCTAACTGTATTCTAATAAACGTGTGCAAATGTGAAATCTTTGGATTCAGTCAGAGGTTTTGGCCTTGGTTCAGTTCAAGAAAATATACTTCTATTTTCGGATAACGATTTTCGTGTTTTTGCAGCATACTAATACACAACGTTTTGGCAAGGATTAAGTTACGTTTCGTATTTCTCGTTCAGTTCAAGAAGGTGAGGTTTGTCATTTTATATCAAAATTGTGTCTCAGAATTTTTAATTACAAACCACGGAATCTTGTATTTTCGCCACGGATTCGGGTATCTGTGATATCCGACCAAACATGTCCAAAATCGATGATACCCACAAGTGATTCTAAAGTTTTTTGTTTTTTTTGGTAAACGTGATTCTAAAGTTTTGATCACGACAAAACATAATTTTCCCGATTTATATATCACGACCAAATATGATGATATTGTTGAATTCAGTACAACCATTCTTCGAATTGGCTGCAAGTTCGATTTGTGTCCCAACGGGTGTTGTAGGAATTTTGCATCGTCATATTATCTGATGCATTAATCGAATGCTGATTTTTTTTTGTGTGTTATTTTAATTTTTAAATACATATACAGTGTTTTTGGTAATTTATGACGTACAAGAAGGTTGTCTTTTGAGTAGGTTTTTCGGCCCATTTCCGTTCTGACGTAGTCAACGACGACATCGAAGCTCTGTGGCTCCACCAATGGCGGCGACTACACATCTCCTCTACCAATCTCCGATTCTTCCGAAAATCCAAGCTCAACACCAATTCACTCGGAACCCATTTCCCAGAACCCCCATTTTACCTCTTAAATCGAACCTCAAGCCCCTGAAACGCCTCTCCCTCAAAGCCGCCGTCTCCCATAACCCTGCAAAAACCCTAACCAGGGATGCTAATAGCGACCAGACAACCTCGTTTCACCACTGTTTCAAGAAATCCTCAGATGGGTTCCTCTACTGTGAGGAAACTAGGGTCCAGGACATCATAGAGAGCGTGGAGAAGAGACCCTTTTACTTGTACAGCAAGCCTCAGATCACCCGGAACTTCGAGGCGTACAGTGAGGCCTTGAAAGGGTTGCGATCAATCATCGGTTACGCGATAAAAGCCAATAACAATCTCAAGATTCTTGAGCATTTGAGGGGTTTGGGTTGCGGTGCTGTTCTTGTCAGTGGAAATGAGCTCAGGCTTGCTCTCCGAGCTGGTTTCGATCCGGCTAAGTAAGATTCCTTTTACCTGATGGTGTCTATTTTTCATGAGAGTTCTGGTTTTGCTGTTGGATTTGGTTCAATGCTTTTAGGTGAATGTTTTAGCTAGATCCTCAGGAGTTGGATTGATGATATACATAAGTATATATGTCATATATGTTTGGTCATCCGCACTTGTCTTGAAGAACTGGTAGTTGAATATATTTCTGTGTTCTTTTTGTTGTCTGGAATTAGCAGATCCAGTAGATTGAACTTGTCTTTCCTTTGTTTAACGGATAGGTGCATTTTCAATGGAAACGGCAAGCTCTTGGAGGATTTGGTTCTAGCTGCTCAAGAAGGCGTTTTCGTAAACGTTGATAGTGAATTCGACTTAGAGAACATCGTGCAAGCTTCGAGAATTGCTGGCAAGAAGGTCAATGTTCTGCTTCGTATCAATCCTGATGTTGACCCTCAGGTATGGCTCAATCTAAAGGCTTGAAATTCATCATTGTTATACACGGGCGTTATATGGAGGGCAATACAAATTATCTGAATTCATGGTCCTGTCTTTCAAATCGTGTTTTGCCCCGTCAATTAAGAGCTGGGATATGAGTAACTTTTGCTCTTGCTACATTTTCAGGTGCATCCATATGTGGCTACAGGGAACAAGAACTCAAAGTTTGGTATTAGGAACGAGAAGCTCCAGTGGTTTCTGGATGAGGTGAAAGCTCATCCCGAAGAGCTGAAGCTTGTTGGAGCACATTGTCATCTAGGATCTACCATTACAAAGGTACCTCAGCCACTTCGATTCTAGCACAGTATCCTATGATCATGTTTTATTTCTGTTTTAGTTTAGAGTACAAGATGTCAAGATCAATGGCTTTCTATATTCATGGTTCCCCGTCCCCATGTGTTATTTTGTATAGTCACACCATGTATGTGTGTATGTTTTTTTATTGTTATTAAAAGGTGGATATATTCAGAGATGCTGCTGTCCTTATGGTGAAATATATTGATGAAATTCGAGCTCAAGGCTTCGAAGTCAATTACTTGAACATTGGTGGCGGTTTAGGGATAGATTATTACCACACTGGTGCTGTCCTTCCCTCACCGAGGGATCTCATCGACACTGTAAGAACGAAATCTTGCAATTTTTTTACATGAAAACGCCTTGAAGTCAGCAGCATAACCTCTTGTTGTTCTTGGGTTTTTTTTTTCAGGTGAGAGAGCTTGTTCTTTCACGCGACTTGAATCTAATAATTGAGCCGGGAAGATCACTTATTGCAAACACTTGTTGTTTCGTGAACCACGTTACTGGCGTGAAAACAAACGGGACTAAGAATTTCATAGTGGTTGATGGAAGTATGGCTGAACTTATCCGCCCGAGCCTTTACGGTGCCTATCAGGTAAAAAGAACATTGAACACAAAACATCACTTGGAGATTGAACCTTCGAAAATTTTCGTCGAGTTTGTAAATTTGGACCATCTGATTCGTCTACATTTTTTTTATTAACAGCATATCGAATTGGTCTCTTCTCCGCCACATGAGGCAGAGGTTTCCACATTTGACATTGTCGGTCCAGTGTGCGAATCTGCCGATTTCTTGGGGAAAGACAGAGAGCTTCCGACCCCTTCAAAAGTGAGATAACACTCGGAAATTCACTCTATTCGATCTTGTTTGCCTCTGGAACCGGAATTTCTTGATGAACTGTGCTTTCTTGTGAACATCACAGGGTGCCGGTCTGGTGGTTCACGACGCGGGTGCATACTGTATGAGCATGGCGTCGACGTATAATCTCAAGATGCGCCCTCCTGAATACTGGGTATCGAAAAAAAAATCTCTTTTTTTTTTGTTGTTTCTCAGAAATGATGGAAAGATGAAACCTTTGTATTGCTTTTGACGTCAATAGGTCCTCGGGTTTTAACGTTTAGGTTCTTCTCCAGAATCTGTCATTGTGATTTAGCAGCAATTGTTGAATATAACTAGTAGTCTAGTATCTTGGAAGGGCGTCAATCATTTAGTTACATTTTTTTTTCTGCATTGTTATTTTTTTGGCAGGTTGAAGAAGATGGGTCAATCGCCAAGATCAGGCACGGAGAGGCATTCGAAGACCATTTGCGTTTCTTCGAAGGTCTTTGAGCATGACACCTCTGAGTTTTTTCCCCCCTCAGACTAGAGAGATTCCGAAGCAGAAGCATGTTATTGTTTCGAAATTCCAGTAAGTTTATCCGTTCTTATATCAGTTTGGTTCGATTTATTCTGGTTTAAGAATCGGAGTTTTTTCCTTGTTAAGGATGCCCTTTGAAGATCCTCCCTGATATGTTTATTCCAGTAAGTTTTTCCGTTCTTATATTTGCCCCGTCAAAATTGAAGATTTTATGTATTGGAAGAACTGCCCTTTGAAAACGCCATGCTTCTACACAAAAGCATAATGGAGAGTAGAACTCGGTCCTAGACCCGTATCTCTCAGGTAGCTGTCTGATTGACGCCCAAATGTCCGGATACCACGTGTTTTCCGACTGACGAGAACAAGGAGTTAAGTTGAGAAAAGAGGCGAGAAAATATGTATTCGAGACGAGATCGAGGCGTCGGAGACAAGACGAGACGAGGCGACTGTGACTCAGAGTGATGTAGACAAAAGTGAGGCGAGGAACACAAAACCATGATCCTAGACTATGGATGATTATAAGCATCGGAGACCCAGAGTGAGTGTTGCACAGAGTGAATTTAGACGACGGAGTTGAGATGGGTACTTATGGATAGGAGTGTCAATCGGGCCGGTCTGGCTTGACCTGACCTGAGTCCGCATTCAATCCGAAGGTTTTGAGTTCGGGTTCGGGTCGGTCCGATTTTTTTCAGGCCTATATAACTAAGCATGAAGTTCGGCTCTATATATTCCTGCTTCGGATCGGGTCAGGTCAGGTCGGGTTGGTCCGCATAATTTTCTTTGTAAATATCATTTTTTTCGTTTTTCTTCTTTAATTTTTAAAAAAATATTGGCGATTCGGGCCGGTCCAAACCGGACTTGAAGCCCGATTTGAGTCCGGCCCAAAAACCCGATTTTTTTGGGCTAGAAAACTTAGGTACGAAGTCCGTTAATTTTCGGGTTAGGCTTGCCGGACTTTGAGCCCCAGGCTTGGCATACCTAGTGTGGATAGGCTGACCGACATTCAAATCCAAAATTTGACTTCGCGTTGTTGCTGAACCTATAGTCATTCTGTCCATAGATGAATACTCGAATTTTGAATATTCTATTTGCCAATCGATTTGAATATTTGGGAAAACGGGTTTTGACATTCGTAGATCTGAGCCATCTGCATATTTCTTTGACTCTTCTTCATCTTCTAGGCTTCGACTTAGACAATGTCTAGCGATATGGGTCGACGTTTCGGTATTCAGCTCATGAATAATTTGGTTTGGTTCGGTTCTTTAGGTTTTATAAAAATATATACTGCTCGGTTATTATATCACATTCAATTCGGTTTCACTTACGGTTTTTATTAAAAAAAAATTAGATATTCTTAACAAATTTTTGATTATTTTAGATATTTTTAAAATTTAGTTTGGTTCAATTCTGTCGTAAAAAATTCAATTTTCTAAAAATAATATCTTTTGAAATTTTTTTACAGTTTGGATCGAAAAAATATCGTATCTTTTTTGGATCGAAAAAATATCGTATCTTTTTTGTTCGATGTGATTCGATTCTAATGAACTGTAACGAAATGGTCAACCCTATAGGGTTGTATCTTTGATATGTGATGATAATGATAAGTTGATAACATAACTAGCGAGTTTCCGCGGATCACTAGACTGTCTGTATCTTTGATTCTCGGATTGTTTTTGTGTAATTTTCAATTTGTCCCCTTATTTTATGGACTCTGATATATTCGTCCACATACTTTTGAAATCGTATTTTCGCTCCAAGGTTTTGTTAAAAATACATAGACGGATATGGATGCTAAATTGTAATGAACTGGATTTTTTTTTTGGTTAAATGTGATTGTATTAAACTCCAAAAGAATACATCAGTTTGTAAAACGGATATAGATATATACAAAAATTTGGATTCTCATGCACAAGTGGGCAAAATAATCAATCGTAGGTGATTCTAATTCATTTCCTATCTAAGGCCTTTCATCAAGAAGTACCAGTCCTCGAATAACCGAACGTGTTGGGCGTTACTTCCCAGCCGAACTGACAGTAAAAGAGTTCGCATCTGCCGGTCTAACTTGGTCCGTGCGTCTCGGATCGTTGTCACTTTTTCCTTGAATATCCGATCATTCCTCTCTTTCCATATCATGTCCACTGTCACGTGTGAGAGAATCTTGGAGATGAGACCTTTGTTTCGCTCCGACCCTCGATTTTGTCTTCCACTCCAACTCTGTACTTGGCCTAGATCCGATGGAGGGCTGTCATCACAGCAACCTGCGAAATGGCTCCAGATCGCATAGCTATAAGGACACTCGAAGAACAAATGAAAGTGACTCTCATCCTGCAATCCGTATAATTGACATACACTGTCAACCTGAACTCCCCACCGGCTTAGTCGATCCGTCGTAGGTAAACGTTGTAGCTTCACTTGCCAGAGCAGTAGAGACAACCTAGGAGTCGACAGGGTGAGCCAGACATCATTAAACCAGTCAACTTGTGCTCCCTGAGTTCTGATTTGTTGCCATGTTTGTGTCGATGAGAACCATGCTCGAAACTCACCATTTGCTTGCTTCCATAGTGTTAAGTCTAGTCCTTCTCTGTCATTGGGTGGTTCAATTGCCACTATCTTGATTTGTGGATGGCCTCGGATCGAGCTCTCGGAAAAGTCCATCTCCCCCTAGTGCAGCCTGCGCAACCGACGCATCTCGAGGAATTCGTAGTAGTCGCGGCCCAATTTCTCCGGTGAGGGTGATCAGTGGACCAGCCCCAGTCCAATCATCAAACCAGAAACTGGTTGATTTGCCATCTCTTATCTGCTTCTTAAGGAAGTTCCTGACTTTTGCTTTGATACTGATGAGCTTCCTGGAACCCAAGAAAATATGCTAGTCAGTTTGCAACTCCAGAAACAATCAGACTTAAACAATCAGACTGGATTTGCATCGTTGTATCGACGTATGGAATAAAAACTATGACGACGAGCCATATAAAATACAAGACATATGTATATCTTCGTTACAAATCCCCGTTTGTAATTTACTTTAATGGGATGAAACAGATGAGAATTTACAGATACACCGCCCGAAAAAACAAAACTTCAAAATGCGCCTTAAATTCGAAGCGATGCTCTACACCCCCTCATCAATCGTCCATCCGTTGCTCCTCCTCCAAGATTCAATCCTCTGCAACTTCAGCTGCTCTTTGAACTTGTTGATGAAATCATCAGCCTTTGCATCAACTCCTTCGTCTTCATCTTCGTCCTCGACGGCGGCGGCGTTTTCTTCTAACTGAGCGAAACCCGATTTCACGTCGCCTGACTGTCTCGGCCTCGGCTTCCTGGCGAATTCGCTCTCCGTCTGCAGTGGACTGAAAATCTCGTCGAGGGTCTTGCTCAGTTCTTTCTGCGGCGCTTCTCTTTCCTTTTTTCCGCCATCTGTATCTCTGGTTTGCTCCATTTCCGGTGAACTTGCGTGGGTTTCTTCGAGGCTTTGCTCTGTTTCCACAAACTGGGTCTCTGGTTCTTGTGGAAATTTATCATTTTGATGACGAAGATCGAAATGGGTGGTTGTTTCTGAGGGATTTATGTGGCCGTAGGTGGAGTCTGACGATACTGGAGGATTAGGATCAGCGGATTTGAGAGTATGAGTGAGAACTGGAGATTTTCCGACAAGTCTGAGGTGGTTTTTGCTGTGGTCGGGGTTCTTTTTCGGAGTTAAGTTCGAAGTGAGTGCGATGACTCCGATGGTGAAGTTGAGGACGAGGAACAGAAGAATGGGTGTCAACCAACTGTATATTGAAGCCCATATGGAGGGCATAATCGATATTTTATCCTCCATATTCATGGTTTCTCAAACACGAGAGAGAGAGAGAGAGAGAGAGAGAGAGAGAGAGAGAGAGAGAGAGATGGTTTGTGGGAGTGGGGCGAGAAGATGAAGATTTTTTTTCCCTGTATGTTCTTTTTTTCTGGTCAATGGGCATTGATGAAAATTGGCTTTTTGAGTCTCACATTCATTTACAAAAAACGAAAACTATAAAATAAAAACTTTTATATTCCTTTTCTTTGGCGCAGAACTTGTTTATTTGTATATACAATAATTTGTATATAAAAATAACAAAAAAATTATATGTATTTTTTCTATTCAAAATTTAAAAATATATTGACGTTCATGGTTTTATTTTAGTGACAACGTAACCATGGTTATTTCAAAAGTATTTAAACAGGGATAAAATAAAAATTACTCAAAAGAAAAAGTCGACAATATCCTTAACATTATATGCTTTGCATTATCCAAGAAAAGGAATATTTTCACAGTAGTTTCAATTTAAGATCCTATATTTATTTATTTTCCTAAACATCACAAGTTTCATATTAACACCCAATTACATGGAAAAATATGGGTTATCTTAAAATTGTCGTCTAAATTTTTTTTTATGACATGTTAATAATAGATGTGCTTGGTACATCAATAGAATTAAGAATAAGACAATTAAGAATAAGACTATTAGACAGAAAATATGTGTAATAGATACAAAAGAGAAGAGAAATATGTTTAAGATGGTTTAAATATGTATAACGTAGGTCGATGGATAACGTAGGTCGATGGATGTACCGTTAGAAAAGTGAAAAGTATATAAATGAGATTGAAGGGTAAGGAAAGGATAATAGATCTAAACTTACTTGGAAATGTATAATTAGGAATGATTTGGAATTATTAGAAATTCCGAAAGAATTAACGCAAAATCAAAATGAGTGAAAACGAAGAATTCGTACGGACGATCCCAAATAAATTTGGGACTAAGACGATGTTGATGTTGATGTGTTAATAATAGATATAGATTTTATTAAATTTAAAAATAATTTAGACCCTAAAATAATTCTACATATTAGAAAATTAATTTTTTTAAAATGTTTTATTGTAGTTGTGTAGAAATATTTTTTTGTCAAAAGTTGTGTAGAAATATTGGTATGCAGATATTTTTATTATGCTATTTAAAATACAAAATTTGGAGGTTTCCTTCTACTTCATTTGAGAATTTCATTACAAAAAATAAAGAAAAAGTATATTCATATCTGAAAAACCAGTTGATTAAATTTGTAGAAAATACAAAGGAAGTTATTATGTTTAGAAAATCAGTAATTGATTCGGAAAATAGATTTTGTGGTAGAATACAAATAACATAACATTTGGGGCTAATTTGTAAATTGTTGTAAAGGTGTGAGGTCGAGAATTCGAGATGACATGCAAAGGGTTTTGCAATACGGCTGAAGGGACATACGTTGTCGTTTGATTCATTGTCGCTATCTTCTCCCTTTGTTTCTTTCACTCAAAAATATTTTATAAATTTACTTCAGAAAAATAGTTTTTAAAAATAATATTTTAATACAAATGAAAATATTTTATAAAAATTAGATGAATACAATCCAGTAAAAATATGAACTAAAATATTAACTAATAAATCATGTATTTTTTTTTGTTTAGATTCACTTTGATTGTTTTTTAATTTAATTTTTTTATTTAAAAAACATTTAATATGTTTTTGGTATTAGATTGTGTTCCCTTCATGAGTCTAGATATTATTCATAAAAATTATATTTTTTTAAAAGGTTGTATGTTTCGATTATTCGTACATATTTTAATTCGATATTTCGATTTTAAATAAAATAATATGATTCAAATTTAGTTTCGATCAAACCACCAATTTGATTTCGGAGGATTAAATAGATTGAAGGCCAATTACACTGCTAGTTATAAAAAAACCAACCAACTAGCCATTGCAATTAAGAATAAACATGAAGTTCCATATCTGTTTGAGATCACATGCCATGTACGGACAACGAGGGGCAGTTTTAGAAATACATAAAATTCTGACATTAGTCATTTATTTTTAGAAATACATAAAATTCTGACAATAGCAATTTATTTTTAAAGAATAAAGCGGATAGCCTAAAATGTCGACATTCTCGCTTCTATTTTTCGACTTGGAAGACCTTCGTAGGTTAACTGCATCAACGACACTTTGATTTGCCGTTAACCATGTCGACACTCTTGGAGGATTAGGATCAGCGGATTTGAGAGTATGAGTGAGAACTGGAGATTTTCCGACAAGTCTGAGGTGGTTTTTGCTGTGGTCGGGGTTCTTTTTCGGAGTTAAGTTCGAAGTGAGTGCGATGACTCCGATGGTGAAGTTGAGGACGAGGAGAT